CCCCCGTTGCCGCTGCTCATGCTAAAGCCAAGCAGACCTGCCTCATGTTTTTTCGCCCACCCCCCATTTTGTCATTCTCATCCACCCCTCCCCAGGGTATCAGTGGCGGGCCCGCGGGGCTCGTAACTAACAAGCTGCTGGGGGTGTGTGTGTTTTTTCCTGGTGTCGCGGTTGCATGGAGCAGCGCCAGGTTCGCACCCTGCTGACGCACCTCCGGCTCCCCTGACCCCCCCCCCCCACCAGGGGAACCATGATCAGAAGCCAAACACACCCTCCTCTGCCGGTGCCTCCACCCTCTGTGCATGCGAAATCATATCAAATGGTAGTACGTGGGTGCAGCGGTGCCCGTGTCCAGAAGGTCGCTGGTTCGAATCCCAGGTGCCCCCGAGTGACGTCACTGTTGGGCCCCAGAGCGCGAGCCCCTTAAGCTCTTGATACTGTCAGATTTTTCTTTCTCATAAATATGTCGCCTTAGTACAGTGAGTAATGCAATGAGTAAAGGAGAAAAAAACAAAACAAAACAAATAAACTGTGCAAATTGTAAATATTGTACGATTGTAGGATGTACGGGGCAGCAGGCAGAGTGACACGGTAATCAGTCACGCCGCCAGCGGTATGTCTGCTTCCCTCTGCAGCTGACTGGCGTCTCGTCTCGCATCCTCTGCTGCCTGGGACGGGTTCCAGACTCACCACGACCCTGACAGGGATGAGCACTGATGGATGGATGGATGGATGCTTTCTTACCCTTCCCACCCCCCCCCACCCCCCCCAAGGGCTTATTGTCATCTGCACAGCAAACTGCCTGTTACGCTGTACAATGAATATCCTTCCGGGCACTGGAAGACACAACATAAAACACAATTACATATTAAAGTGATTCATTACGACAATAAATATGAGTAAAATTATGATGATAAATATGTAAACACAGCACAGTGTTTTGTTTTTCGTTCCTTGGTAACGACAAAGGGTCTAGTGCCCCCCCGCCCCCCACCCAGGTCATGATGGGGTTACATTCCAATAAAAATATCGTAACGCGAAAATGCATCTTAATACAGTACACCTAATCTAACAAACGTCATAGCCTAGCCTAGCCTGCCTTAAACATCCTTAAAATACTTACATTAGCCTAAAGTCTGGTTATTAACGCAAAGCCTAATTTATAAAAAGTGTTGATTATCTAATGCAGGGGTGGCCAATCTTATCCGCAAAGGGCCGGTGTGTATGCGGGTTTTCGCTGCAACTCCCTAATTAGATTACTAATTAGAGGACTGATTGGCTGAAAGAGTCTTCACACCTGGGTTTGAACAGCTGACTTACAGGTTATCCCAAAAACCTGCATACACACCGGCCCTTTGTGGATAAGATTGGGTACCCCTGATCTAATGTAATTTATTGTGTATGAATGTGTGTGTGGATGGGTGAATGTGAGGCATGTATTGTAAAGCGCTTTGAGTACTCGTAGGGGTATTGAATTTATTGAATAATGTACTGAAACTCAAAATCTTTTACCGATGGTAAAGTCCAAATGCCTTGAAGGGAGGTCACGTGGTGACGCCTGAATCCCCAAAAAAGCTCTGCTGTTGTACCCTTGAGTAAAATATCCATACGTTAAAAAAAGAATAGGGTGCTTTGTCTAATGGTTTTGCTCAGGTAACGCTAAAATGTAATAAAATTATGGATAAAAGGTTGGGCTCTGAGTGAATCCTGTGCTCTCGATTGCAGTTGGCCTACTGCGTTGTGCAGTTCATGGAGAAGGACGCGACCGTCACTGAATACGTGAGTCCCTGTCGAGCGGCTGACCTTTTCCAAACCGCCTGGAGCCACACCAGGTGGCCGTCGGCCTCACTGGACGCCAAGTGCTAAATCGTTCGCTTTCTGTGTTTCGGCCTCAGATCGTCCGCGGACTGCTGAAGTACTGGCCGAAGACCTGCACCCAGAAGGAGGTGAGGGAAAACGGGGGTGTCTTATAGAGACGGCGGGGGGGGGGAATCAGATGTGTAGGTTCTGTGGGTGTATAGCACAGCGACAAAACAAGCTATGTTCCAGGTTCATCCACTAGACCAGTGTTTCCTAACCTGGTTCTCAGTGACCCCCAGACAGTCCGCGTTTTTGCTCCCATTAGGAGCTGGGTGGGAGCGAAAATGTGGACCGTCTGAGCGTCCCCATGGACCGGATTGGGAAACACTGCACTAGACCATCAGGATGCTGATCATTGGTCAAAGAACTCATTCACCGTCATCCATACTTACATTCATATGGCTGTTCAAAGTATTTAGTCAGCCACCAATTGTGCAAGTTCTCCCACTTAAAAAGATGAGAGAGACCTGTAATTTTCATCATAGGTATACCTCAACAATGAGAGACAAAATGAGAAAAAAAATCCAGAAAATCACATTGTCTGATTTTTAAAGAATTTATTTGCAAATTATGGTGGAAAATAAGTATTTGGTCACCTACAAACAAGCAAGATTTCTGGCTCTCACAGACCTGCAACTTCTGTAAGAGGCTCCTCTGTCCTCCACTCGTTACCTGTATTAATGGCACCTGTTTGAATTCGTTATCAGTATAAAAGACACCCACTGTATTTGTTCATAATCTGTGCACTATTTATTAATACAATGCTGTATATATTGCCATTTTTGGATACTTCGTATTTGCACTATTTGTTTTGGTTTATAACATTTTGCCGCTGTTGTTGTGGACTTGCGCACAAACGGTTCACGCAGCTGTAGATAACGAGTGTGAAATGATGAAACAAATATAATGATTTGATTTGAAGTTTGTATTTACAGCTTAGCATTGGACTTTATATCACAGCTGAAGGCGAAATTAGTTACACTAATTACAGTGTGTATCCAAAAGGGATGTGCATCTCCGTCACTGAGGCGCTATGATACACATCTCCATGCATTGCAGACGATTCAATACATTACAAATGCAAATGAAGTAACCACTAATTCAATACAATATGATTCACCCCTATTGCGATGCAGTGCGAATTGACACAATTTTGTTCAACACAATACGATGCAATGTAATTCGGTTTGGTATAGATACAGAAACAGCACAGTAAAGAGCTGTCGATCTAAATATAAAATTATTGGTTAAAATGTATTGCTCATATTTCTAAATAATAAAAGCGTATGTCCTGTATTTAAAATAATACAATAAAATCCCGTTATAGTGGACTCGCTTATAACGGAATATCGTCAATAACGGACGACGTCCGCTGGTCCCGGTGTTCTGTCGATATATTCTGCCTTGTCGAAAAATGCTACCGTAGTGCTAATCAATAGCCCTAACCCTAACTCTTACCCTAACCCTAACCCCCTAAAACCTAACCCTAATCCCAAAAGGATGGAACTGCACATGCGCAGAAAGGCTCGATAGCACGTCTCGATAGGTAGTATTTTATGACAGAACACCGGCCGTGCGCCTTTAAGAACATGCAGAAATAGCATCGGATATAGCGGACTCGCATATAACGGAATTTTGCTTATAATGCACAAACAATTTGGGCGGCTTTTAGCTGTAGTTTTGTTCGGCTATAACGGACATGCAGCTCCGCCTACAAGGCGTGTGGCGTGCCGGTGATATCCAGCGCAGATACGGAGTCGGGATTATTAATAATCACGCATCTGGTCAGGTAAAGCTGGATTACTACATGTACAATATAATAATCTACACCACAAGTGTGTCTGCTGGGGTGTGGCATGAGTAAATGGTGTCCTGTAGTTGTACTCTGGGCAAACAGCAACTCTCGATATAATGGACTTTTGATATAATGGACTGTTTTGCCAGGTCCCTTGAAGTCTATTTTAATGGGATTTTACTGTATATGAATAAATTGAATTTTACCGCAAATGCAAATATGTTGCAAATATGTTAGAAGCGATGCATCCTAAGTCCATCCCAAATTGTATTCACACTTTTTTAATCAGGGCAATCACATCATGAACCTTTATGGCGGTGCACCGATGCGAATCAGTGAACCTTACCATCCCTGCTGTCCATATATGCTGTAATAATTCAGAGATTTTTTTTATTGCACATAAATGTGTCGTTGCCCACATGTTAATAGTCATAATTATTGTAGATACTGCTGTGCTCCAGGGAGTTTCACTTACACAAAAATGTTCTGAAGGCTGAACCAAAAATTATTGGTTCAGAGAGATACCCAATCAGATTGAAGAGGGGGTGGGACCAAGACATCTGATTGATTGGCCCTGCCTCCTTTACAATCTGATTGGTTACCTCTCTGCACCAATTGTTTTTCCTTCTGCCTTCAGAACATTTTTGCGTACGCGGGATGTGTACCTGGAATTCCGAGTATCTTCTGTAAGGTTTGATATCTTCCTCGGCAGGTGATGTTCCTCGGGGAGATGGAGGAGATCCTGGATGTGATCGAACCCTCGCAGTTCGTCCGGGTGCAGGAACCCCTCTTCAAGCAGATCGCAGCTTGCATTTCCAGCCCCCACTTTCAGGTGAGAATGTCTCTAAATGCCGTCATTATTATATGTCCTTATTCTTTAACCTAAACAGGAACATAATTTAATTTTATCCCAGGTGAGAAGAACACACTGTAAACATTACACAGTAACAGAATTAATATCAGGCACTTAACCCTAACATACTAAGAGCTTTAATACATGAGAAGATACATCAGTATCTTAGATGAATGAGAGGGTTAGAATAAAACAAGCAGCCTAACTATCTACATAAGCAGCTTCTCGCTAAAGAAGGGCTTTGAGAGTCTGAGTCCTGGCTTTGGACTGCGAATGGTTAAGTAATTACCGAAAATGAGAGGATGGGTTGATGCATGTATAATATAAAAATTGATACTAGCATTTTAGAACATAATATAATTTCAAAACTCTCTAGTCTGTCTCCTCCCTTCCTGTTTTTTTTATCATGTCTCTCTCTCTTTCTGTCTCTTTCTCCCCCCCCTCCCATTTCCCTTCCCGCCTCCTCTTCGCCTTCACCTCCGACTTCCTGCCAGGTCGCCGAACGGGCCCTGTACTTCTGGAACAATGAGTACATCCTGAGCCTCATCGAGGAGAACTGCCAGGTCATCCTCCCTCTGGTCTTTTCCACGCTCTACAGAGTCTCGAAGGAGCACTGGAACCAGTGAGTGTCCTACCGCGCACGCACACGCGGGATCAGAGCGGGTCAAAGGTCGCGCGCCTCCCCTAAGCGGTCTGTCAGACTCCATTCCCGGTGGCCCTGTTTCCTTCAACCATCCTCCTTTAATCACTATATTAGTTTCTAATTTTGATACGCTGTACCATCTGCCCCCCTTGCCACCCCCGCCCCCCACCCTGCATCATGCTCCCCAGCAGGATAAATAGAGCGAATAATTAACTGGAAATCGGACCAAAAGCCAGGGGCCAAATTTGGCAAAAGCGCAGCTGGTCTGGGATTGCCTGACTGGTCCGGGGAGGGATGGTTCCCCGTCCAAGGTGGGCATGGCCACCCTACCCTTGGTGGAGGTACATGCACCAGCTGCAGGGACGTTCAGGAATTGTGCCAGACGGCATCAGACACAGTGTCTCTAGGCTTGGTTGGTGTCCTTGTAATTCGCTCTGGTGACATGGGAGCTGGGGGTGACACGGTGCCATGCTGGGCACAGCGGCAGTGCCAGGCCGCGTTACTGTCGGCGCGCCATCACTCATCCCTTGTGCTGCGTCTCCCCTTCCTGTCCCTGTTCAGGACCATCGTGTCACTCATCTACAACGTGCTGAAGACCTTCATGGAGATGAACAGCAAGCTGTTTGACGAGCTCACCGCCTCTTACAAAGTAGAGAAGCAGAAGTGAGTAGAATTCCTGCTGCAGTTGGAGTAAAGAATCATTATAAAGTGAGGGTCAGTGTGTACTACTGTTATTATAACTACGGTTTTTAAAATTAGTTTTTATTTCTCAATTGGTTTAAGTTTTCAATCGAAATCCAGTTCAGTTTTCAGTGCGGGTTCATTATTTTTCATATGAAACATATATTTCTGTTTAGTTTTCATGTATTTTAGTTTCAGTTTCAGATTTAGCAGCTTTATTTCTAGGTATAGGCTGAAACGGGTAGAGCTGTATTGTGTGTCTGATCTTTAGAGAATCCTACATAAATACACAGTACAGATTACACACTAATGCCAACAAAATAGGCAGAATGTTCCAGGTGTTATTAATGGTTTACAGGTAACATTGGGAAAGACCAGTTAAAACAGCTAGATAAATAGTATTAAAATACAGTAACAGAAAGTATTTGACATTTGTTTTTTATTTTATTTCAATTCATTTGGACACGATTTTTATAGTTTTTTGCTCAGTTGTAGTATTTAATTTTCGTTTTATTTTTTGTTAATGACCTGTGAATATCAGTGCATATTAGTGTGTGTCTCAAAGTACTAGTGCATACCAGTGTGTAAAAAGTGTGTACCTGTATCAGTGAGTACCTCTGAGTGTCAGAGCGTATCCATATGTACTTCAAAGTACTAGTGCGTATCAATGCATATCAGTGTGTACCAGTGTGTGCCTGTGAGCATCAGTCAGTATCAGTGCATATCTGTACACATCAGTGTGTATCTGTGTGTACCTGTATCAGTGCATACCTGTGCGTACCTGTGAGTATCAGTGCGCATCTGTGAGTACCGGCGTGTATCAGTGCGTACTTGTGAGTATCAGCACCTATGTGTGTGTACTTGTGAGTATCAGTGCATACCTGTGCGTACCTGTGAGTATCAGTGCATATCTGTGAGTGCCGGCGTGTATCAGTGCGTACTTGTGAGTATCAGCACATACATGTGTGTACTTGTGAGTATCAGTGCATGCCTGTGAGTATCAGTGCATATCTGTGAGTGCCGCCGTGTATCAGTGCGTACTTGTGAGTATCAGCACATACGTGTGTGTACTTGTGAGTATCAGTGCATACCTGTGAGTATCAGTGCGTATCTGTGAGTGCCAGCATGTATCAGTGCGTACTTGTGAGTATCAGCACCTACGTGTGTGTACTTGTGAGTATCAGTGCATACCTGTGTGTACCTGTGAGTATCAGTGCGTATCTGAGTGCCGGCGTGTATCAGTGCGTACTCGTGAGTATCAGTGCATACCTGTGCGTACCTGTAAGTATCAGTGTGTATCAGTGCGTACTCATGAGTATCAGCGCATACCTGTGTACCTGTGCATGACTTTCGTCTCTCCCATGCAGGGAGCTGAAGCGAGAGCGCGAACGGGCAGAACTGTGGAGGGAACTGGAAGAGCATGAGCAGAGGAGGCTACAGAGTTTGGGCGAGGCCAGCCGGAACCAGAGGAACCTCCAGGACAGACCACCTCCGGCCCAGATCGAGCCCACCCCCAGCAGCCCAAACACCACCTAGACCACCCCCCCCCCACCCAGATATCCTATCGGAAACATGGAACTCA